TCGGTGGTCAAGGAAGTAGTTCTTTTCTTCCTCTCTTCCTCATACTCTGCATCATCAGTCTTAAGCTGGAATCTACAAACAGAACAAGAGTTTCTTGTACCTAACCATGGAACAATACAATTCCCATGGTAACTATATTCTTCCCAATTTCACCAATCACCATTGCATCTTTACACATTACGATTCCATTGACGCATTCACACCACAAATTATTCTAACTTTATCTACTCACTCAAAACTATCGATTTAGAGAATTAACAATGACTTTTTGGATCAATTGAATAAGAAAAACCAACACCAGTGTGACATGTGTGACAACGAAACAACCAATGCTACTTTTTTACGAAAAATCAAGATTGGCAGTATGATCTTCCAACACATAACACCCTAAACCCATAAGGTGATTTTACTCGAGACTACCATGAAATCCATGCGTCCCTACACTTAGATTTCGAGGCTGTCTCTGCGGAATCTTCAGTTCAGTTTTGTGGTCGGATTTAATGGAGGAAAGGAAAGCGAAAGGAAGATGCGGCAAAGGGCATGCATGTTTCTCAAATGCAACAGAGGATATTATAAGCAAATTACCCAACGCTTTGATATCAGAGATACTCTTGTATCTTCCGACAAAGAATATTGTTAGGACAGTGTTTTGTCCAATAGGTGGAAAAGTCTCTGGCTTTTGAGTCCCGGGTTGTATTTGGACTCTTCTAAGTTCCCAAATTACAATGCATTTGTGAGTTTTATGGACAGATTCCTAGATTTCTATAGGGAAGACAAGTCATGCTTGCACGAGCTTAACCTAAGTATTCACAAGGATGAGAATGATGAGTCTTGTATCACGCGTTGGATAGACTTTGTGGCTACGCGTAAGCTTAAGCATCTTGATGTTGAGTGTCTTCGTGTGAAGCGTGAGTGTTTAGAAGTGATGCCCTTAAGCCTCTATATTTGTGAGACGCTCCTTTACTTAAGGTTACATAAGGTATTGTTGGGTAGTTTTGAGTCAATTTCTTTATCTCGTGTCAAGAGTATGGGTTTGGAATCCAATGTATATGCCAATGAGGCGTGTCTAGAGTCTCTTATCTCGTCTTGCCATGTTCTTGAAGATTTGATCATTGTTAGATGATAATGTAAAGGTTTTATGAGTGCGTTCTCTGGCGCTAACTAGCTTTAGTGTAGGCTTTGATTTTTGTGAGAATGGTAGAGAGATTTCTAGTTTTTATAGAGGAAAATCGGGCCTTTTGATTGATACCCCTAGACTCAAGTATGTGAGGAAAATAGTTACTTATATGGCTCTTTATAGGCTCGGTTTTTGGGTAATCGCCTTTCTTTGAGTTTTGTTGGATCTTTTGTCACCAGGAGCTCTTCTTGGGTGATGTCCACATTACCAAAACTGAATTGCAATGTCATCTTGAAAATAAAGCATTTTGAGGCATCAAAGCAAAAGGAAAAAAACCAGAAAATCAATTTGAAATCAACCGAAAACCCAAATCCATGAGTGCTATTTCAAAGAAGTAACACAGTAATGCAACAATGTTTACGAAGATCTTCAACCTATGATTAAAAAAAACTCCATAAAACAAGATTCCAAAGAACAAAGCGAAAGAGTGATGTGGATGAGAAATCAATGTGCTTCAAACTCAAAGGTCAAAGCTTGACTGTGTCGGCTGTGTCAATGTTATGGTATCTGCCATATTGGACAATGAAGCAGCCTGAAAAAAAATAAAACGCATTAATATAACCAAACATGAACACAATAAGAAGAAAAAGAAAGACAAATCAAACGCACAAAAGACTGAATCATACTTCCTCAAC